GCCGCCCCGTTCAGCGCCAGGCAGCCGGCCTTGAGCCCGTTCTGCGGCTCGCCCGGGGGCACCAGCAGGTAGCCCTTCGCCAGCGGGTGCCCGGGCGCCACCGCGGCCCCGTCCTCATGGTCCGACCGCGGCATGGCCCTGGGCTCCCCGCCACAGCCACCTCGCGCCCCTGCCCTTTCCCCGGCGCCCCAGGATCCACCTCGGTCCGCCACCCGCCGCCCGGGCCGCGCCGACCCGGGCTGCCCATCACTCACGAGAGGCCCCGCCCCCACGACCAATCCGCGGGCTGCGCGGAGGGAAGGGGCGGGACAGGAGTGAACCCTCCGGGTAGCTGTACGGAAGCCGGGCTGGGCGGTGCCCAGACACGCCACCTCTCTGCACCTCGTGATATCTCGCCAGAGCGCTGCAGTCCAGCCAGAGGAAGATCGCTTGCAGTCGGACTCGCCCGCCCGCCCCACCCCATGCTCCCTGCGGGCTCGCCCGATTGGGACGTGCTGTGCCTTAGCCGTGCGTGTGGCCCCTGTTCCCCGAAGACCAACGTCCTTGGTCGTAGTAAGTGGACGCGCGTCCAGCGGGTCCCGGCCTCCACACTTGTTTTTCACATAGGTGCCGAATGTTTTTATGGGCTCTGGGGAGTTAAAAGAATAAACATGAAACCAAGTGCTTTACTCCAGAACGAGAACACAGAGCTCTAGGGTGCTCCTGGTCTAGAGAAAAAGCTCTGCTTCTCTTTGGGAAACTATGTTGAAAAAAATTATTAAAAAGAAAGAAAAAAATGATTAAAGCAAAGTTGAAAGTAGATGCGTATAGGATTCGTATTACAAATCTGACCTCCAAAAGTGCTAATATCTAGAACCTTAGAACAAGTCATATATAAAAATGTTACCAGGCGTCTCTCAGGACACACTATGCTACCGTCCTAAACGCTAAGGGATACGTGTGTTAACGATGCCTTCTTTAGCCATCTTATGAAAATGGCCACATGCTCTCCCCCATCCCTTTTCCTTGCTTAATTTTTATTTTTAGTGCTTACTATCACCTAAAATGCCCTACATTCTCCTTTTTTTTTCCTGGTTATTTTCTTTCTCCACGAAAGTGTAAGTTTGGAATGTTTTGTGGCCTTCTGCTTTGACTATTTTCTGAGAACCTGTGACAGGACCTAGTGTACAGTAGATGTTAAATTTATTTACTGAATCAATGTAATTAATGAACAGGCATTACTATTAAATATTTTACATAATTATTTTGTAAATGATCTATTTTTAAAAAAAACTCTTGTGAATCCCACCCCCAATATGATTTTTTTCTTTTCTTTCTTTCTTTCTTTTTTCTTTTTTTCTCTTTTTGAGATAGGGCCTCACTATGCAGTTCAGGCTGGCCTGAGCTCACTTTGTAGCCCAGGCTGGTCTCAAACTCAAAATAATCGTCCTGCCTCAGCCTCCCCAGTGCTGGGATTACAGGCGTGCGCCATCATGCCTGGCTCCCAATATGATTTTCTAAACATGATTGGAAATCACTGAGCAATGTTCTCTGAACAAAATAACAAACATGGGTGCCAAAGGACTTCATCCTCAGTTATGGATATCCGAAAAACAAACTAATCGAATTACTTAATATTCAGCACAATTTGCATTCAATATTCATAAACATTTTATTAATACTTTCATGTACTGCAAAACCTACATAGCCCCACCCACCCACTCACACACATAAAACTATTCAAGCTGGCCACAGTGGCATTTGGCTATAGTCTCAGCAGCTCAGGAGGCTAAGACAGAAGGATCTCCTGAGCTCAGGAGTTCAAGTCAAGTCTGGGCGATATAGGGAAACCTTGTCAAGAAAAAAAAAAATTCTGAGGGGGATTCAGATGGAATTAAATGGACTTTACTTGCTCAGTCAGGGTCAACTTTCAGATATCTGCAAACTTGTCAACCGCTCCTGAAGCCCAAAACTGGCTTGTTAGATTTGATAGCAAAGTTTCCCCCAGTGTGGGGCTGCTTCCTGAATGTGCTCCTGAGGGGAGGCTATTCTTGCTGATTGTTCAGGCCCTGTGTTAGAGATCCCTAACCTTCCCTTTGTCCTTGGGGAGAAGGGTTGGGATGAGAGTTCCCGGGGTATCCTGCACTGCCAGGATTTGCCCAGCTGGCAGCCATCGTGCCTTTGCCCACTTTACCACGTGTCTTCCCTGCACAGGACAAAGCTCTGTGTCTGTGACAAAGGGTGTGCAGATGCAGAGCCAGGCTACTTGTGTCTGAATCCCAGCTTTAGTGCTCCCTAGCTGTGTGACCTTGGGCAAGTTATTAGCTATTTTGGGATAACAGAACCCTGCTTTGTAGGATTGCTAGGAGGCTTAAAGGACTGAACAATGCTGGGCACATGGTGGGTATTCTCAGTTAGTTAGTGAAGTGATCTAATATGATTAAAGACCCAGCCTGCAAAGCCCAAAATGTGAGTTCAAATCCAAGGTCTTTCCCTTCCTAGCTGCAGGAGTGTGGACGAGTTTCTCCCTATCTCTGTCTGTGTCCCTCTCTGTTTCTGTGTGTGTGCGCGTGCACGTGCATGCAATTCTAAAATGAGGGCAATGTTCTTCGTGAGATTATTAGGAGAGATGAATGGCTAGTAAAGGTAAAGCACTTAAACAGGCCTGACCTCTTCTTATCTAAATGAATACTCAGCAAATATTATTCATCAGTGCTGTTATTAGCTCTTTGTATGTGCAAGGGGAAGGGGTGTGCAGGGGATTGAACCCAAGACCTTGCACTGAGCTATGTCCCCATCCCTTCTTCTTTATTTTTTGAGAGAGAGTCTTTTGTGTGTGTTTTTTGTTGTTTGTTTTTCTTCCAGTACCGGGAATCGAACTCACGACCTTGTGCTTGCAAGGCAGGCACTGTGCCGCTGAGCTAAATCCCCAGCCCGAGAGAGAGTCTTGCTTGTGATCATCCTGTGTGAGGCTCCCAGAATGCCACGGTTACAGGTGTGTACCGCACAAATCAGATTTTTATGTTTTCCAAAGTCTTGTCTCACCCTCGTTGTATGAACTTGACCCTCACCCCATCTTGTCTGTTTATTTATGCAGTTGTTTACTCCAAACTCTTTCACTTGAATTTATGATTATAAGGCCCCATTCCTGGAGGGTGTTCTCAGGGCAGTCATAAAGGACACTGCATGGTGGCTTACTTGAATTACCTACCTAAGAAGGGGTAATTTTCTTATCATCAAAGGTGATCAGCAATTGAGTGGACCACCATGTGACCTATCTAGACAAGTAGAGGATCACCTATGTCACTCCCCCTTAAACACTGCAGCAGTCTTGTCAAAGCAGGTATTTTGTGGATAGGATTCCTAAATTTAATAGAAAATTGAGCTACATGAGATTTAAGATTGCTTCTGGCTTTGTGGCTATGTCTTTAAAAATGTGTCTAATGGAAAAATTAGACAAAATTCATGTGACTAGTTAACATAGTTCCATAAAGAGTGGGGCATAGAAGTTGGATGTGGTGGCACACACCTGTAATCCCAGCACTCAGGAGATTGAAGCAGGAGGATCCTTGTGAGTTCAAGGCCAGCCTGAGGTACATAGTAGGTTCAAGGCCAGCCTGAACTACATACCATGACCCTGACTCACAAAAAACCAAAGACAACAACAAAAAGGAATGGAGCCCAGAAAGTACATTGTAGTTTCAGGCTAATTCTTAACCTTGTCTCCTCTCTCTCAGGCTTCAGTGGCAGGTACTTATTAACCAGTTCAGGTATGAGTCCTACTTTGTACCATGTGTTTGGATGTGTAATTTATCCTGAGCCTTAATCTCTGTCAGAAAGACACTGCTAGGAACATCACTTTGAGAGGAGTTAAGATAAAATTGTGCTACAGGATGAGTGTAGAATGCCAAGTCAGATTTAAATAAGTAACATCTCAAAGGTAAGAGATCTGAGCAGCATCTAGGAGCCAAGTCCAAGGTGCCACTAGGAGTGATGTGGCTGTCCCTGAGCAAAGGTTTCCTGCAGCCCAAGAGCTTTAGAGTGTAAGATACAAACACACAATCTGTGATGCTTCACTGCTGGGAGTGGCTGGAGCTGGAAACTGGTTGTATGTGTGGAGAGAAGATAAAGCCATAGTGCCTAAAGCAGTCAAGCTGTCTCAGTCTTGAGAAAAGATCCTGCCTGGACAATTCAGTCATTAGTTGCTAGGTGACCTTGTTTCTCATGATGCTGACTTTGCAAATGTATCAATAAACACCGCTGCTGTTGTGGAGGTCCTCTTGCTCATCAGGTAAGAGGCCTCCACCTGACCCAGATCTTGTCTCTTGTCTGTCTTTTCCTCATTCTCACTGCCCTTCCTTCCCAGGGTACACCCAGAGACTGAGTCCCTACATTTGGCACCTGAACAGGGACACCTGGTAGGATACAGGTGGGAAGTGAGAACGCTTCCCGAGAGCATGCAGCAGGCGAGGGGAAGCGCATTTGTGAGAGCTAGTATTCAGCACTGGAGTGCATGGTACTGGCACATCAGATGTAATGTGTGGAGATAGGGGTTCTCTAGGGCCAGAAAATATATAGGCTTCAAAGAAGCCAAAAGAGAAAACGATACTGAAGTGCAAGTAGTGTCTCAAGGCTCCTGGGGGTATATGTGTATAGAAGTGTTTGTTGCCTGTTTGACTCCTGCATTTACTTTTCTGGATGTTGCTTTGGAGGGGTCTTGTAACCATAAAGGATTTGGTTCAGAACATTATGTTAAAATCAAGTCCACAGCCTGAGCAGGAAATGGAGGGTAGAGCAACAGTGCTGCCAATAGAGTCTGAGCCTTCCAGCCCAATCCAATTTAAGAAGGAAGGAGTGGTGGGGGACAAAAGGGACTTTTCCCCACCAGAGAGGTGTTTCCCCATGAACTCTGTCTCACAACACCCAATGGATTTGACTGAGCCACACCAGGTACCTGGCCTTTTTAGCTAGGGGAAATTTGGCCAGGACACAGGTGTCTACCTCTCGGGAAGTAGAGCTATTTTCTCTCTCTCCCTTGCAGTTGGCACTAAAAGAAGCCAGACAGGCAGGGGAGTCCATGGAGGGTTTTTAACATATTTACCCTACTACTGACATTCAAGTCCCTGAAAATCCAGGACAAGTTATACATGGTTATGACACTATACCTTTTAAAACACTAACAGAGTTAAGCTGTTATGACTTATGGCCCTACTGCCCCCTTTACCTTGAGTTTAGTAGAAATTCTAGGCAATAGATTATGGCCCCAAATGAATGGAAAGGAATAGCTAAAGCATGTTTAATTCCAGGTGATTATTTGGTGTGGAAAGGAAATTTTGAATATTGCACATACCAGGCAGCCCATAATACTGTTCATAACATAGCCATTATAAAAGATATGCTAACCGGGGAAGACGCCTTTGCTGTCACAAACAATCAAGAATATAGAATTAAATGTATACAGAGATGATGTAGAAGTGGATTATAGAAGCTATGAGGTGACCGTAAAAAAATTTGTATGGGTATTAACTGAGAAGATTCCACCTAGTACTCTGTCTTGGTTACCTTTCTCTCGCTGCTGGGACAAAATATCTGACAACCAAAATTAAGGAAGGAAAGGTTTATTTCGCTTACAGTTTGTGGAGGTTTCAATCCGTACTAGGCATGATTATAAGGCAGAGTGGCACGTGGCAGAGGGCTGCATCCCAGGGCAGCAGCACAGCTAAGCGACTACCAGGACCCACACACCAGGGAGGAATCAGGGAGGAATCTCCCCAAGCAGCTTCCTCCTCTCCCTTACATATGTAAACTGTCCACCCCAGGGCAGGTGTAGCTCTCACACACATATTTAAACTCTAACAGCCTGCCCCATTTCCGCATGAGGCTTTGGGGGGGACACACAGACATAAACCATAACATACTCCTAGGTTAAAACATCTTCTTTCTGATAATAGAAGCAATATTCTTATTTATACGACAGGATATAGTAAAAATGGTTTCTTAAAATTTCAAGAGCTGGGGGCTGGGGATTTAGCTCAGCAGCACAGCGCCTGCCTGGCAAGCACAAGGTCGTGAGTTTGATTCCCGGTAC